TACAAGAATTTTTTTTTTTTTGCTTGTTCACAGATTATTTATAATTAAGAGTCAGCCTTGCAGTGTCCAAGTTTTCTACACATCCCAAATTATTTATTATGGTTGAAACAAAAAGGAGTTTTCATTTGGGGTATAAGTGTGAAAGTTCTCAGTTCTCTACATAGTTTGTTTATGGGCTTTCCAGAGACATCCATAGTGGAGCCAGGATGCTGGAATAGATAGGATTCTGGTCTGATCTGGCACAGATCTTCTTACATGTTCATATCCTTAACAGTGGCTACATTAATGTAATGGGACAATCGTTTGCATATCATGCTAAATCAAAAAGAAACTAATTCATAGGTTTCAATAAGAGCAGAAGTTTTCTTGAGCTTTTGCTTCCAAATTTGGGAGAAAGAGTCAATGATAAAAGTGCCTTAAACATTTTGACTTTTCCTCTTCTCATGGTTTCATTATCTTATGCTTGGATGGCAAACGTGACTATTGAATTCAAGGAAACGTAAGCATTTGTGTCTTGAGTGGGAGCAAAAATGCTTGAAGGAATGAGAAAGACTTCTAGAACGTGCCATAGTGGTGGGTTCCAGGGGCGGGTTTCAAAACCCATCACTACTGGTTCGCTCGTGGGCGCTTGCATGTGCAATACTTCTGCGCATGTGCAGAAGCGGGTGGGCAGAGTCTCCCACTGCTGCCACTACCAGATCCGGGGCGAACCGGTAGCAACCCACCACTGGTGGGTTCCTGCGAAAAAGAAATAGTTTTGACGAAATGGGTCCACTGAGTGTGAGAAATATAGTATCTTTGCTAATCCTTTCTGAAATATGCCTATTTTAACTGTTATGGCTTTTTGGAAGATTTGGGGAACTAGAATTTGGTGAAGACGATGAGAACCTCCCAAGTCTCTTCAAATAATTGAAATATCCCAATCTCTTGTTGCGACTGATTTTACCTTTGGAGGAATACTTGTTCCTTTTCTGCTTATATCATTTAATGAGTTGGAGTGAGATTGCATCTTCTGTGCCAATGAGGAGAGCATGGCAACAGAAAACCACCTCACTTTAACTCCATAGAATTGAGCCTATAATGGATTCTTAGCTCCTGGACACTCTTTAAGATACCACGAAGTTCACTTTTCTTTAGTGAGAACAACACTAAGCAATGAAGTTGTAAATTTATTACATTTTTAAAATTATCTGTATGAAAATCCAGGTTAGCTGGAGAGTTTTAGTATATAAAAGTTTATATAATTTTTGGGAGAAGGTAAAGCTGTAAATTATGGCCTGATGGCAATAAGTATTTGGGTTTTTTAGAAAAAAATGTTAGATTCAAAGTTGCAGTAAATGCATGAATTAGCCACAAAATGTGGACATGAATCATCACTAAGCCAAACTAAAAGTAGAAAGCTGGATAGTGTCATTTTTACCAATCCAGAAAATGTAGGCACTAATCTTTGAAGTATCTGGATGGGAGCCCCATATATCTGGTGAGGAGACAGTAGGAGATCTAGTATCCAGATCCTGATATCCAGACAACTTTAGCTTTCTATAATTAAATTTAACATGTTGAACAGTATTTTGTAACATTGACATTCTTGTATACAACATCATCTGCTTCCTACAGTTTTCTACAATTAATGTACCTTTTTAGCAGTTGTTAAACTAAGCAGAAACTGTAATGTAAACAGAATATGGAGCTGGAAAGCATAAAACTTTGTCTTTTGGTTTCTGAGCTAAATAGCATTTATTAAAATATTTTTCTGAGCATCTTGAAAAAAAAAGATATGTGAATTTCAATTAAATATTTTACATATCTATGGTTTTTATGTTCTTTTAGCTATTTCCCATCAGGATTATTACACAGTGAATTAAAAACCCTCTCTACCTCTTTATATTATAAACCTTTAGAAAAGCTAAGGCTCCAAAGCTGCTACTATTTCTTGCATAAGATTTGCAGCTTTTGTGAGCCATAGATGAACTGTGTAGCCCTAAAGTAGTAATTATTCTTTGAAACATGGAGATAATATTAATATTGCTGCTAATAAACTTCGTAGTGTTTCTGTTGAGAATTGTAATTATGTAGGTAAAGAGGGCCTATGTAACATTTAATCATTTCCCTCTTAGCATGCTTCCAGATTTATTTATTATTTAGGCAGATAACATTTAAAATCAAAATACAAACAGTGCAAAATATCAATATGTAGAGTAGCAACCAAAAACCAAAAATGTCACTATTTCTCGGCTCTCACTGTCTTCACAGACTGCCATCCAGCAGCACTATGTAAGATTACCTGGTCCCTCCTTGGGAAGAAGGATTCAGATTAACATTTATGAGGCCAGGTGGAGGAATTTGTCAAGCTCTTGACTGATAAAATCGCTCAAATTTGTTTTCTGTTGGAATCCCAAGTGTGGAGCAGGTCCATTGGAGATGCTCAGGGAGTGGACTTACCCAGTTACCTGGGAGCAATTTGACCTGAGGAATTAGTCAGGGTCCTCATGACTCTTAGTGCAATTGCTTGTTTATTAGATTGTTGCCCCTTCTGGTTGGTAAAGGCCTTCAAGAAGATTTTGGTGGATCCAGGCAGTAATTAATGCATCCCTGCAAGAGGGTGTATTTCTGGGACTATTTAAGGAAGCCTTGGTCTGTCCCTCCTTGAGAAAATTTCATCCCTTCCCACCCTCTGGAATATTTTCTTGGGGTAGATGAAGTCCACCCCCATACAATTGGCCTTCTGGAAGTGCCTAATAACTTGGCTGTGCTGCTTGGCCTGGGGCCCCACCAGGGGCCTAGTAAACTAGGAGTGACTGATGGCGTAGCGACAATACTCACTCCAAGGCCTCCCATCATCTTGGCTTTTAACTTCTCTACTCAATTTTTCTAATTTAAATGGTATTTTAGTACTTTTTAACTACAGTATTTATTATATTGTAAGCTGCCTAGAGTCACTGTATGAGTAAGATGGGTGCCATAGAAATTTAATCAATAAAAATAAATTTAGATTATTAGCAAAGCTATTGCATAGCAATCATTCGTTTTTTGGCAGGGGAAGAGAGCATTAAATCGTAACAGATAGCAAACTTGGGCAAATGGATCAATTTCTTAAGATGTTTCAAATGACAGAACAGATCAGTTTCAGTTTTTAATACTAATGAGATTTTTAAATGGTTATTATGTTTTTGACATTCCAAACTGGATTTCAAGGAATAGCAAAGGTGGTAGGAAGCCTCCAATGCACACACTGTGACTAAAAAAGGTAAGAAAAGAAGGGACAGATGAACAATGTAAATTTCTTTTGGAGGTACTTGAAAGAAATATGTATATAATATAGCAAAAATACCATACATCAGTTTTCTCTAAGTTGCAGTTGCCCAGATATATTAGATCAGGAATCACCAACCTTTCAAACCTCAGGGATCACTAAATTCATAATTTTAAATGCCGTGGACCACTAATATGATCTGCCTAATGACCAGCTGGGTAGGCATGGCAAGGTGGTCATGTGACTGGGTGGACGTGGCCAACTCAATGTCACTCACATTGACGGACGCATTGCCAGCCTCTACTCACTACTCCTCGCTTCCCACCCGGGCTCCTTAGGACCCCAACAGAAAGCTAAACAACTGAAGCTAAACAGCCACCATGAGAAAGAGTTGGCAAAACAGCTCAGTTCAAATTGGATCTGACCAAGAAGGAGGCTCAGCAGAAGCACCTCACTGAGGACTACAAGCATAGGCTTTCCAAGCAGAGGGAAGACCTGCGGGAGTGCAAGACCTGCAGTGCCTGGAGGCTCAGTGGCTGAGATGGTCAGCCAGTTCCAGGACATGATGCACCCCACTTGAACAAGGCCCTCTGACTCCTTGCCACTAGTGGTGCTTCCCCCCCAGCCTTCGCCCAAAGCCCCGCACCAAGAGGCTGAAGCAGATCCCAAGTCGGAATTTCTGCCCCCCCCCTCCGACCTGCACAAAAAGACCCCAAAGGGGGAGACTCTCTGCAGCAACACAAACGTTCATTGCACGTATCCGGCCTAGGGGCCATAGTTTGAGGACCCTTGATTTAGTGCAATATAAAAAATGCAAATAATTTTTCTGGGAACCACCAAAATTTTCTCGCGGACCACCAGTGGTCCACGGACCACCAGTTGGTGACCACTGTAGTAGATGATACTCATCCTCAGTTATCACGGCTGTCAAGGAGCTGCAAAGTTGGGGAGGCTGCATTGAGATGCATCAATTAACTAGCTTTCAGATTTTGGGGCTGGATTTGTATGTGTGTTTGTAGTGTACAGTATATAGATATACTTTGCAAGTTTAACATTTCAAGTAGCATTCAATTACTATAATACAATATCAAAAACGTCAGAGCAATTCATTATTAAAAAATCCAAATTATAGTAAATTAGAATGCCTGAGCGAATAAGAATACTTGTGCTTGGTGATGAACAGGTTTGTTTCCAGGTGAACTGCTTTAGGGAGGTTAGTCCACAGGTGTGTCACTGCAGCTAAGAGAGTCCTTCAGTTGTTAAATTGCATACCTCTGATAAGGAAACATGCAGAAGAATTTTACCTAATGTGAATTGTATTGTTTATATACAGATTTTATTGATATCTGTGGAGGCAGCAGGAGATATAAGTGTTGGTTTTCGTGTTAGGATGCCAAATTGAATGCATTATTTGCAGATTGTCTTAAGAATGGGTCAACTCTGGATCTCTCAAACTAATATGTGATTTGGAAGCCACTGGATTTCTCCAAAATTGGCAATGGGGCTCTCCCTCTGGAATATCAAATAATTTTGAAATGCATCCTATGCAGAAACTGAGAAGTTGAAAAATACTTGCTGAAACAAGCATGACTGTTAAGATTTTTTAAATGTAAAGATTGAGATTAATTTGGGTATAAGATGGAACATACATTCATAAAGAAATGCTTATGAAAATTAAACAGGCAACTAGAGTTTGCCCATTGCACATTTCATGTTGAATGATTTTTAAATATGCATTTTCTCCTAGATTTCCTACACACCAAGTGATGAGGAAGACAGTGATGATTCTGAGGGAGAGAACCAGGAACTTGCTCAGATTGACAGAGGTAAAGCATTCCAGTATTTAGGAAACCTACTAAGAATGTTAGTGTTAAACTTGCATTGTAATTTCCAGGTGTTTGCTTTCTAATGCAAGTTCTGTCAACTTTTGTTATAATTTATATAATTCCATCCCATATGGCTAATTTCATCTTCCCTGAAACTAAGAATTTCCTGTCTAGCAATCTTCTCAAATTTGATGCCTTCCAGATCTTGTTGAAGTCCTATTAACTCTGGCCAGCATGAGTGGTGGTCAAGATTAATGGGATAACTAGACAACCTGTGACCCCTTGGGTCATTCTTTCAGAGAGATTTCCTGACCAGATTCCTCAGTGCCTTTAGCAATGACAGAGCTCTTCTAATGTTCGGCCTTCACTGGAAAAGTTAGGATACCTTCAGAGATGTATTTGCCTTGAAAATAGCTCACGTTGAACTGTGTAATATAGTCAAAGATCAACACATAAAATGTTGTATGACATTTTGTATTATATCATAAACTGTTTTATGATAATTTTATATCATAAAATATCTTACAAAACTCGCCAAATTTCAATTCCATGGGAGTTATGGATTCTGGATTTTGGATACATTTGGTAAGTTAGCCCATTTGAGGTATTTTGGTACAAAAAGTTTTGTCCCTATGGGTACACTGTTTTGCCCAGTTAAAGATTAGAAGAACCAGAGTTTTAGTAGTGTATAGATTGCAGAACAATTTCACAGGAACTCTATGCTACTACAAATCCTGGAGAAACACATAAAACTCAACTCCTTTTCTTAAAATATTTGTTATCTGTTGTCCATTCTTCTTCTATAGCTGTGATGGCGAACCTATGGCACGCGTGCCAGAGGTGGCACACAGAGTCCTCTCTTTGGGCACACGTGCTGTCGTCAGCTGCTCTTCCAGGTTCCATTGCGCGCATGCGTGCCAGACAGCTGGTCCAGTGCACATGTGCAACGGCCAGCTGCTCTTTCTGGTTTTGGTGCTCCGGCGCGCATGTGCACTCCAGTTTTGGCATTCAGTGTCAAAAAAGTTAGCTGTCACTGTTCTGTAGAGTGATGTACAAGGGCAGGCTGCTTGATTTTATTCTTGGAACAATGAAGTTTAATTGGGGTAATAGATGAAGATGGGAGCAATAATAGCCAGTAAGCTTTACAAGTGGTTGGCAATTCTGCTGTGGATCTTGCTCCAAATCTGAGAAACTCTGTGATCCTATGATCTTTGCTAGGATTTGGTTACTTTTATATGCCTTGTTTTGAGGTCCTGCTGCTGCTGAGCCTCTTCATGCGAAGGCAGTGCTGATAGCTGTAGGAGAGATTAGCCGAAATTGCTCTCTTTCATTCTACCATTCTGTTAGTTTAACGTACCTTCTATTTGTGATAGAATAACATGAGATACAACCATTGACAGAATTTGCACATCATGCTAAGTCACGGTTTGTGTGAACATGGTATATAGATTAAATTATAATTGGCTGGGTTCATGTGTGGGTGCTTCAACACTGGAGGCTTTCAAAAAGAGACTGGATAGCCATTTATCTGAAACGGCATAGAGTTGGACTAGATGACCTCCAAGGTCCCTTCCAACTCTGTTATTCTAACTATGCGCTACAAGTTATATTAGTTGGTTTCACCCATATCATTAATTAAGTCTAAATCAAGCTAATCATATTTTATATTAGCACTACATGTTACCCAAATGAATATGGATTGGATGGTTGTTATTTTTTCTTTTTTTCTTTTTGATAAGATACTAAAGTAATAGAGGTAATCCCTGGATTACGAGCATTCCCTTACTGAATGTTCAAAGTTATGTGATAAGTGCCCCTAGCGTTTGCAAAGAAGTCCCGAAACTACAAATCTTGCCGCACCACGGCAATTGTTCGCCCTTATGAACAACCGCAGAGGCTCTGCAACATTCGTCCTGAACGTTGCTGGCTGAAATGGAGCTTTGAGGGTGGATCCACCCTCAGATGTTCCATTCAGGCCTTCAGAGGCCTCGCTTGGCATGTTGCAGGCCAAAATGGAGGTTCTGAGAGGCAAATCCGCCCCTCAGAAGCTCTGTTTGGACATCATGCTTCCCACAATTGCTTTCCCACCCAACCAACCTGCTACGCTGGGTCACTTACCTTGTGAAGATCTAGCAAGCAGTCTCCTCTCAGCCGTGTGCGCCCCTCTGCAATTCTGTTCGGATCTCCGCGGGCTGCGCCCAGCAGGTTGTCAGCTGAAATGAAGCTTCTGGGGGACAAATCCGCCCCTCTGATGCTCCATTCAGGCCTCCACAGACCTCCCCCAGCCCATTGCAGGCCAAAACGGAGCTTCCGGGGGGGCGGAGGCCCGTAGAGGCCCAAACAGAGCGTTGGAGGGCCAGATCAGTCCCTCGGAAACTCCATTTTGGCCTACAAAGCAGGTGGCCCGTTCCATTACTAGGCCCCCCCCATGGACGTCCCCACCCTGAAATACTTCATGCGCATTTAATGAGCCTCGCATTCGATTAGCGAATGCATGGGTGAAAGGAGGGAGTGATCCTGTTCAAAGTAAGAGATTCACTCCCATGAATCCTCGGGTTACGAATGGAATTGGCAGGCTCCATTACATTCGTAACTTGAGGACTACCTATATAAGATTTTGGCTGCCATGAACATGTAGACTGGTCAGAATATACGGGAGCACTTTGTCAGTAGGTACATGTGGAACATGAGTTCTGTATTGTACAGAGCTACTACGTGAGTACTCAAAAGTAGATTCTGATTCTACTCTTAATTTCTTCCAGCATATAGAAATCTTGCCCTTTTTCATTAAATTTCACTGATACTGTGATGATGGTTTTACACAATCAACTTTTTTCTATTTATCCTCAATGTGTACTGTCCCCATCTCCTCCTCAGAAACTAATCTTGGTTCCCCCTCTGTACAGAGTTCTATTTCCAAGGAACTTCAGATGTTTGTAGCTGATTGGGTCTTGGTGGGCCCTAGGTCATAGAGTGTCTTTCGCAGTGTGAGTGTGCCAGTTGTTCTTAAATAAAATGACATTCACTTTCCCGATGATTCCAGAAGTGCTCAGCTTTCCTGCCTGCTGCTAGTCTTAACTTCTTCCAGTGTCTAGGATGAAGGACTTATTTGACAGAAGGAGTGGGGAATGGGACTAGTGGTTTTTAATCACTATGTAAGGCTGCGTTAAGATCTTCTCTATCACTGTTTTAAATATTTTCCCAGAGAGAAGACGGAATTGCACCTTGACTCCCTTGGCAACCAATCAACAGCAAAATCAAGAAAATCAGTGCTGCAAAGTTCGGGGCCATTTTCCTTCTGGGCTGGACCACCATAGCTCTGAAGAGGAGTTGGAATGTATCACCCGTGAATTTGCTGCTGAGAAACGGAAGTGGTCTCAGGTCAGCAAGCTTGGCTGCTGCAGTGACAGCTGTAATACCTCCTCCAGTGATGAGGAAGTAAAGACCTTGTGTGGCAAATCCTTCCGGCCAGTGGTCGAAGCTGTGGAGGGTTTGCGTGCCAGTCCTAGCCCAGTGCTCTTCAGTGCCTCACCTCCTAAGAGACTGCAGTCCTTGGTACGGACCACATCATCCCGGCCTATAATTTTTACAAGCGTCGGAGGCAGCTTTGAGCAAGGGATGCCGTGTAAACGACACCGACAGGGCTATGGTGACAAAGTCGGGAGGCCCAGTCTCGATCTGGAAAAAATGCAGCAAGTAAGGCAGTGTTGCATCAAATTATACTCATATTTAGTCATATACATGAGAGACCTTGGAAAGTTGTGATAGAAAATGACTATCAAACTTGTTTAGACTTTTCAAAGTCTTTTATCTTTAACCTTGGTAGGCGAATAGTGTTTGGCTTTTTATGCCATTGGCTTTTGAATATTTTCATTCGGCTTGATCTCTGCCCCCCTTGTTTCTGTTCTAAGAATTATCTGTTATTGGAGTGATTTCCATCTGCCTCTGTTTTCATTAGAAACTAGGGCACAATTTCTGGCTTTTGACTGTATATCATAATGGTTTAAGAGCAGTTCTCATTTCTCCTTCAAAAATGAGAACATAACACTGGAGTAAAAGCTTTATTTCTACCCAATCCTTTTATTTCTAGAAAGTCTAACATTGCGAGGTGAATGGTTAGTATAGCAAATGATATGGATGACCTCTCCGTCTCCTGGAGACGGTGGCTGGATTTCACTTTTGGTTTTGGCTTAAAATGATATGTGAATCCAGCCAGTATGGGTTGCTCAACAAACCATGGTTTAAACTTCATGGTTTTATGTGGGGTAAGGCAGATTCCTCTGCTATTCTGCCACTGACTCTATTCTTTATTTCAATCTTTTTCTTCTTTAGAACACTTCATATTCTATACCTCTTACGTGTCATCAGCTGAGGCCATTGTCCTGCTGTAATGAGTTGGAAGAAGCAGCTGCCCCTTTTGCTTGTTATGCTAGGCTGCTTGTACTTTTGCAGAGGGGTATTTGCGTCAGTATGTGTGTTTCTTTGCATTTGGCTGCTTTCCCATCTTTTCATTTCTTTTCTTCTTTTTTTTTTTTAATAATTGGGCTGAAATGGCTTGGCTTGTGTTTCAAGGCACCAAGTACATCTACAGTGAATTGAATAGTCTCCCTTGCAGCCCTTCGATAGTCCTTGGACAATGTCCTAATTACACCCTGGACCTGCTGCCAGCCATATGCATTTTAACGAGGGCTTTGTGATTGTGTCCCAGAAAGAACAGGGTCATGTCTGGCCTTTGGCAAGGGTGCAGCCTCTTCTTTTCATGGTACCCATTCAGAAGTATTGTCAGGCACAAGGCAGATGGGGGTGCCTGTGTGTGGTAGGCAAAGTGTTTTGGTTGCTTAAGGTGCCAGCAGTCAGAAAGAGCCGAGCGAACCAGCTGCAGCCATTATACATGCATAGAAGATTGGAGTTAGATACTGTAACCCGTCACACATAATTTAGAAAAGTTTCATCTGTCAAAAATGAAGCTATTAGAATCCTGGATTTTCTTGGAATGATTTCTGGGAACGAATTCCAGAAATTCATCAGAGGCTCCACTGAGCACTTGAGTTTATGGTTGTTGGTGTCGCTCTCTAGAGCAAGTAGATGAAGAAGAACCAAAAACAAATACTTGATGGCCCTTTAATGGATAGCTGCAATTCTGCTTGAACCCCTCCCCCCCAAACAAACATAAATCAGCTGGATCTTCTTGTAGGCATGGCAGGAGGTTTGCTCTTGAAAAGCTGGACTTTTCACAATAAGCAAAACGATTGCATTGAATGCCAAAGCAGAAAGACCTGCTGAACTCTCAGTGCTTTCCTTTTGATGAATAAGTCCCACTAACTGAACTCTGTCGTACACATTGACTGAAGTAGAACTAAAATAATGGGTAATAATACAGAAAGGATCAGCATGATTTCATGTTTTGCAGAATGTAATAGTAGAAACACTTAGGGTGGCAGTTCACCCCTTTTCTCAAGCCTTTTTTTAACCATGAATGCTTGGTGTTCCTTTGGAGGATAAGGAGCAGTGAAATAGCATATTCTGGAGAAAAGCAGAAACAAAAGAGTATTTCTGGCTATGAGTTTGACCTATCCACATGCCTTTATTGGGTGGGAATCATGTATTCTATTTTCCTGAAGATTGGGCTTTGAGGATAAGGCGATAAGCCCTTTCCTTAGAAATTTGTTCAACGAAGGAAAGAACTCCTTGACTCAATTGCATCTCTCAGCTTCTCTTATTTCAAATCTACAATGAGAAATCAACATGAAATCCTAAACTCTTCAGAATACTCCATCAGACATCATCTAAATAAATCAATGGGGAGGTTGTTCAAGGTTTGTAGAGGAATTTATAAAAGCTGCTTTTGAGACAATGAGGAAAGGGTCTTGCTCACTTCCTGTTAACTGATACTAAATGGGAATGCCCCAAATCAGGGGTGTCAAACTCACATCATCACAGCGGGATCACATAACATATCATGACTCCCCCCTCCTTTGCTAAAGTAGGTGTGGGTGTGGCCAGCGCATGACACATCTGGCCCGCGGGCCACAAGTTTGACAGCCCTGTCCTAGATTGATTCTAACTTCTTTTGCTTGTAGTATCGGTGGATTTGATTTAAATCAACTCGATTTAAATCACAATTTAAATCATGATTTAAATCACTAGTAAAAAGGCTTGATTTAAATCAACTCGCTTTAAATCATAATTTTTAAAGAGCAGCTGTCATTATCTATCGGGCAGCAGCTCCTCCTCTGACCTGCTGTTAACTCACTGACAGTCCCAATATTGCAGAATATAAAACCTCACGCTACATAACTAAGCTCCATTTCATGCTCAATAAACTAAATTATTAATGAATCTTAAATAGAAAACTATTTTTAGATAGATATTTACTCCAAAGGCATTTTATTAAAATAAATTTGATAAAAATAAAAACTGATTTAAATTTTAAAAAATCCAATTTAAATTTAAAAAATCTGATTTCTTTTGATTTTTTTAAAAAAAATCATCGATTTTTATCCACCTTGTGTAGTATACATCTTCTTTGCTTGAGCTGTATAGAGCCTTGTCCATTGCAATTTTTATACCATTGTACAGACAAATCTGAATCTATCTTGTATGCTCTCTCCTCTTTTCACATCCAGTTCATTTGTGGTTCTGTCCCCAAAACTATAATGAGATCATTCAGTGGACTGTCCCTTTTTCAGACTGCAGATCAGTGGTGGGTTTCTACTGGTTCACCGTGGTTTGGGCAAACTGGTAGTGGTGGCGGCGGGAGGCTCCGCCCACCCACCCAGACATCATCACGGATGCTCTGCGCATGCACAGAAGCGCCGCACGCAAGTAGCAAACTTGCAAAGGTAAGTGGAACCCACTGCTGCTGCAGATATTGGCTTGTTTCTTAATCTGCCCTGTTGAATTCTCCCTCCTGAGATGCAAGGCCATAAGGTTTGAGCAGGGGATAGCATTATGAAGAAATAATTTCATTCAGGAGCTTGTGTGAGGGGTTGGATCTGTATCATTTTCAAAGGAGGCTGAAGAATCTTGGGTCTAAATAGATGGATAATTTCAGACAGGTTAAGGTTCACTTGTTCCTTTCCTTGCAATCCAAGTCTTTCTCATTAGTTACCGTAGTTGTTGCGTACAAAAACAGAATTTTAATAGGGGGAATAATTGGAGAATAATAATTGAGGGAAAGGGCTGTCTGTTAAATCCAAATGTTCATTAAATACAAATTTACATAACTGGTAAATGTATGTTAATTATGCAGTTTTATGTATTTATGTATTATATAATTTATGTAAAATTTACTAAAATTATGCCAATTTGCATAAATTGCCAGGCCTGATTTGCAGACTTTTCTGTTATTTGAAGGAGATGTCCAAAGTCAGATTTTATGGAAGTTGAAGTGTTATCCAACAGCAGTTGTGGGAGGAGTTAGGATATGCTACTGGAAGCTGATTACCCTTTACATGACAAATTTCTGAACGTAACCATGATGGACAGAGAGAGAATACAAAGAGCCTATAGTCTGCTCTGCATATTCTCCGAAGGAAAGAAACGGCAGTCAGACTGGGGAAGACTCCCTCTACGCAGCATGGACCAAGTCTGGCAAATTTGCATAACTCCGCCCTCCTGGCCCAGTGTTTCGACTTGGTCTATGCTGGATAGACGTGTCTTCCAGCTTTTCCAGTGGATTTTGCCTTTAAAAGGTCCTTTTCCCTCTGATTCTCAATTGGATCGCTTATTCTGCTGCTAGCCGGGGCTCCGGCTTGGATTCTGTCGGCTGACAGTTTTTTCATTCTCCTGCGGCACTTTGACTGTTATCTCGCCTCCGATTGCCTCAAACGAGCCGCGCTGTGTTGTAACGGCATTTAGCCTAGCAGCTCTTCATATCGGCTGGAGCCTCCCTCGCCGATCTCTTTATCGCAGTAATAGCCTTGAGCTAGCGATTACGAATCCGCTCGACTGGTGGAACTTCTACAGGTGGAACGGAGGTCAAAAGAGGACTTATGGGCAGCTGTTTCAGGAGCAGGAGCTTTGGGCTTGTGAGTCTCCTTCACTTCGGCGGCCATTTTTAGGCGCGCTTTTAACTCGGTGGCCATTTTGTTCTCGGTTTCTTCCCCTGAAATAGCGGAACACTCTAAGGGACGTAAAGGCCAGCTAGCGGCCTCTGCTGGCCACAGACGTCGCCCCTCAGGTCCATCGGAAGGGGCTTCTGGGCATTCTCCTCCAGCAAAGAGGGCTAAGGCCAGTAAGGCTTCCTCTTCCTCAGCCATGCCCACCTTGTCCAGGGAGGAGCAGCGTCGCCATAAGGCGATAGAAAAGGCTTTTTCTAAGGCCTCTGTACAGGCTACAGCCTCTGCCCCTCCTCTTCCTCCTCCTCCTCCTTTGTGGCCTCCTTCACGTTCTGGATCCATAGCCCAGGACAATGCCCGCAGTGTCAGGGAGCTCTCCCCGGATCGTCCCGGCGGGCCCGGTTCCACCTCCAGGAAAGGAACCCTTATTTCAAACAGGCTCTGAGGCACCATCATCTCCCGCCTCTTCACCAGGCCCCGCCCCACTGGATCCTCCTCCCCAGGTGGCTACTCCTGGGGAGTAGGACAGCTGCCTAAGGCATTTGAAGTCCTTTTAACCAGGGCCATTCGGGAGGGCTTTGCCCAATGGGATTATCGACGGGTTCTCAGGTGCCTGCTCAGCCTTCCCAGTGTAGA